TGAAAGGAAGTTCAAAACATTTCAGGGCAAAACAATGACCTTTAGAGGGGAAATGTTGAAGAAGTGCAGGGGAGAAAGTTTCATCCTTCAACCTGAGATCACAGAAACACAGAATGGTTTGGGTTGGAAGGACCTTAAAGCTCATCCATCCCACCCCCTGCCACAGGCAGGGGCACCTTCCACTAGACCAGGTTGCTCCAAACCCTGTCCAACCTGGCCTTGGACACTTCCAGGGATGGAAAAACCCCAAGGATTATTACCATTGTTAGTGGTAAGTTCTCAAACATGGGGAATTCCTACATTTGACCTTCTGAAAGTATGATCTAAATGCTGGTGGGACTTTCACTGCTTTGCCTTCTCCATCCTGCCCAACAGTCAGTGGGCAGGGAGGTGTTTTTAAGGCTGTTGCAAAGGGGTGTTATCAGCAAAGTAACTCTTTATCTCCTGGTGTCATGAAATCTGGATCAGCTGCTGCACTTGGAAGATGCTTTTGTCAGTCCTGGAGGCAAACCTGAATATCTCCCAGGGTCAAAACAGTTAAACTGGTCCTTTCTTGGGTTTAATTTTTAGTTGTGGGGTAAGTAGGTACAAAGACATGTTAAGGAAATGTCACTTTTTCAGTATTCTCATGATTTTTGTCTGACTTTGCCTCCCTTTTTTATCTTTCACTATGAATATACCTCAATACAATACTTGGGTAGAGCTGTGACAGAGGGACAAAGGGAGTCACAGAGATACTTTGAGAAGCAAAGTAGATCTTTAATGAGTGACAGAAATGCAAAAAACCCATCTAATTGCTGTGGGGATTTTCAGGTGAAGTCCCACATGGCAGAGGAGCTGCTCCAGCAACTCCTGATTCCGAGAGAGAAATCCTGGCACTTACTTTCTGCTGACTTTTGTGGCACAGAAACATGGACACGTTGAGGCTGGAGGAGACCTTTGGAGGTCACCTGGGCCAACCTCTCCGTGCTCAGGCAGGGCCACCTGGAGCTGGTTGCCCTGTACCATGAGCAGTTGTGTTTGGAGCACAATCCACCCATTTTTTCAGGAATAGTGATCCCTTCTTGGGGTGGAACAGAGTCACCTGCAGGTCTTCCCCATGAGTTGGTGAATGTTTGTGCCTTGCTTTGGGTGGAAGGAGAAGTGTTTTACCACTTGGTGACCTTAAGATACCTCTTTTGGGAGGAGGTTTAATGTCTTAAATGAGTTATGTGGACTCTTGTCAACGTGGGAATAACAGAATCTCAAATGGATGAGGTGGGGAATTGAGTCTTGAAAAACTATGTTGGGTTTTTAAATTGTACCCCAAAATTGTCCCGTGTTAAACCAACTGTAGTTTATTTATAGACTCTTCAATAACCACCACGTCAAGTAGTTTTTCTGCTTGGAGTTAATAATTTCTGTGATGCTTGGAAAAGTCATGGAATCACAGAATGGTTTGGGCTGGAAGGACTTTAAAGATCATCCAGTTCCACCCCCTGACATGGGCAGGGACACCTTCCACTAGACCAGTTTGCTCCAAGCCCTGTCCAACCTGGCCTTGGACACTTCCAGGGATGGGGTACCTAGAAAACATCCATTAAAAAGAAATCCATTTAAAACAAAGCCATTTTGAAGGAGAAAAATATTTCCCATCCTCACCAAATAAATAAATGTATTCTTGAACTTCTTCCACTATGTTCAGATGATGCTTTTAAGAAATAAACCCAACCTTCTTTAGGAGAAGGGAATCCATTTTTGCAGTGTCTGTATTTCCAGATAGTTCTGGGCTGGGAACTTTTTGAGTGCAAATATACATAAAGGTGTATATTTTTATGCCACCTCTAAACTAACATCAGGTCAGGCCTATTTGTAAGATAATTCCACTCACTCCCAATCAATAATCTCTTAATGTATAGACATCTTGGCATACTTTTAGTTTTGTGTCACTTTTTTACAACCTGTGATCACTTGAACTTGCAGTGCTTAGAAAGGCAAATCGATGCTTGGCTGCACCTTGTTCCTTAGATATTTCTATCCTGTGGAAGTTCTGAGTGTGGGTTTTAGTCCTCCCGTGGTGGCCAGCAGATCACTTACCTTTTTGGATGTCTAGAACTCTCCTTATGAGCCAAAAATCAGTCTCTGAGCCACCAGAGGGTTTGTGAACCTCAATTAATGGGTGCACACAAACGTCCCCATTTCTGGAGCGACTCCTCGACCTAAAACTAAAGGAGGTCAAGATTTCTATTCTAACCAGTCCTTCTTTCTCCCCTCATTTCTTCCTGACATGTCACCAGGTGTTTCCAGGCAGTTCCCAGTGTTCCCTTGGGATTAGATGTCCCGGGGTGGGATTGCAGGTGTCATGGAGCAAAGTCTGAGATGTGGCAAGGGCAGATATTTCATCAGGGCTTGTTTTTGTTGATAACCAGGGCTGCTCTCAGCAACAAGTCCATGAACTCCAGTGCCTTCATTTCAGGGACAGGAAGAAGTTGTAAACATGGAATTCCTTGGCTGCTGCTCCTGCTGGTTACAGATCTTCAACTTTTGACCCGGGTGGTTGTTGCTTGTCGCTGACGCGGGCAAGGGTTGGTACCACCACGAGGAGATGACTGAAGTGCCTTTTTTTGGGATGAGTTGGCCAATTCCCACCATCTCCTTGTCATCCTTCGTGTCATCACCTGGTCAAGGCTCTTGTGTCTCCTCAGGGCCCTGAGATTTGGGGTGAAACCCCTTTATTTTTCTGGTTCAGAGAAAGGTTCTCGTTGGACGTGGTTTTGGGTTCGCCTCTGTTGACAGCACTTTCTGTGGGGGAATTCCCATGGGATACGGTTTGGATTCATGTCTGTTGACATCACACTTTGTGTGGGACTTCCCTCCAAACAAACAGGCACCTGTTGGTGAAGCAGAAACAGCAAATCTCCCCAAAAATTTAAACTAAATGAATAAAATGCCCGGACTTGGAGGCAGGTGGACTTGGGAGACACAGGGTGTGCAAGCATGGAAAGCTTGGATTTACAGCTGCTCTTCTGTGGGATAATTATATTTGTAATACTTTTCTACTTTACTTTTTAACTTTATTTTAAGTGTGTGTAGTGCATTCAGGTTGTTGTTATTCAGTTTATCCTCAGATTTGTTGTGATTTTTGGAGTGTCAGAAGGTCCTGTAAAGTCAAACTGTAAATGAGAACCCCACACTACCAGGATTTTTGGGTGTACATATGTGAGTTTCTGCTTTTTTAGGGATCCAAGTGCAGAATCTTCAAAAATTAAATTTGTTTTTATTAAGTTATGTAATTTGCCAGATATCTGTCTGTTAACTTGTGGCTTGAGGTAAAAAAGTACAAGAAATAAACCTTTTAAAGTAACTGCCTCCAATCTAGATTAATGGTATTTTTGACTGTCTGATTTAAATATTGTTTTGACTTTTACTTCAGTCACCAAGATGTTGCTAAGTGAGATTATGTTTTTTTTTCAAGAATTAAAAGAGCAGAAAGTAGAGATCCTGGATGATGTCTTACATATGCCCTTCCATTCTTACAGGAGCGTTCAGTATATATTGAAAAGTAACTGTACACTAAATTTATCAGGTTCTAGAGGTGGAAGATTAACTCTGATTCTCAGTTTTGAATGGACATTTTACAGAAGAGTTCAAAGTAATTTTCTGTGCAGCGTTAACTTAAAATGGTGTAGTCAGGAATTTATTTTATTTTCATTTGTAAGACCATTTTCAGACTTTATCCTGTTATCAGAGGCACAATAATTCACGCAAGAAAAGGCAGTTTTCCTGTATCTCATCATTATATATATGTAATTTCATCATTTCATATATAGCATCACAGTGGCCTGGCAGTGGGTATTTCACCCCTTTTAAAGTCATAATAATTATCCTGTATATAGCCTTTCTCCTGTATTGCTGTTTGAATAGTATTTTGACTTCTTTATTGAATATATTTGTCTATAATCAGTGTAAAATGACGTTTGATTTCATCCCATGCAGTTCTGCTGCCCTGACAGGGCTCAGTCAATGATCCAGTATCATTTTCAATGTTTTATTTTTTTTTCTTGACATAGTTATTTTTAAGAAAGCCCAAATTGATGCTCTTAGTTCATCTGCTGTTTTCTACTGCTTATATTTCCTTGCAGGGTTTTGCTTGTAAAGGAAATGGGGATTTCCCTGCCTTGGTCAGGTGCTTGACTGTTTAACACCTTCCTTCTAAATTTAATCTTTACCAATAATTCTGCTTTGAGATTGCAGCTGCTGTTTGTTTGCAGGGAGGCACAAACATAGAGGGCAGGGAATCCCAGAATCATCAGGGTTGGAAGGGACCTTCAGGATCATCCAATCCCACCAGAATCCCCCCTAATCCATGTCCCAAAAGAGGAGTTGCTGAGACTGGGCACTGCCTTTGCTTTTCTTTTGGCACAGTCAGCCAGAAAGTTGCTGGGAGCAACCCTGAGAGGCACAACTGAGGTGTTCTTCTGGCTTTTGTGGAATCCACACACAAAATTCCCGTGTTTGAAAATAACCCCTGTCAAATTCTGATGTGACACATAGTTGGAGGTGTGAGAAAAGGATTCAAATGATGGAATGGTTTGGGTTGGAAGGGACCTTAAAGATCAACCAAATCCAACCCCCTGCCGTGGGCAGGGACACCTTCACTAGCCCAGGTTGCTCCAAGATACATCCAACCTGGCCTTGGACACTTCCAGGGATGCAGGGGCAGCCACAGCTTCTCTGGGCAACCTGTGCCAGGGCCTCCCCACCCTCACAGGGAAGAATTTCTTGCTAAAATCCAATCTAACCCTACTTTCATTGAATTTGAAGCCATTCCCCTTGTCCTGTCACTTCAGACCCTTGGGAAAAGCCCCCCCAACCCCCCTTTATTTAATCTTTCCCCCAGGATGATTTCTGGGTTCCCTGCCTGTCAAAACTGTTGTATGACAAAACCGCTGAGCTCCGCGAGCCGGGACACGGAGGGAAATCCTCTCCAACCATTCAAACCCTCACCTTTGTCTTTGCAGGAGGAGAGACTTCAGCATGCAAACCTTCATCTGTTCGGCTTGCACCATCGTTTTCATTCCATGCTGCTGGCCTTCAGATGGCTGGACAGATGTCCCACTCCCATCAGCAGTACAGTGACCGGCGGCCGCAGAACATCAGTGACCAGCAGGTTTCTGCCTTATCCTACGCTGAGCAGCTCGAGCAGCCACTCCCACTGACAAACCAGGTGAGGGGCACACAAAAAAGGTCCTTCAGGTGGCATAAGTTCCTCTAAATACAGTTATGGAATCACAGGATGGCTTGGCTTGGAAGGGAACTGAAAGATCGTCCGGTGCCACCCCCTGCCATGGGCAGGGACATCTACCACTAGACTGGGTTGCTCCAACCTCGCCTTGGACACTTCCAGGGATCCAGGGGCAGCCACAGCTTCTCTGGGAATTCTATCCCAGCCCCTCCCCACCCTCACAGCCAACTATTCCTTCCCAATATCCCACCTAACCCTGCCCTCCTTCAGCTTAAGGCTGTTCCTCCTTGTCCTGTCACTCCAAATCCCTCTCCAGTTTAATGTGTTTTACAACCAGAAACTGCAGCATCAGGGCATTTATTTTTTTTTTAAATGCTTTGTTGTTTTGTTTATTTTTTGAACTAAATAACTCCTGACTCTTTAAGGATGGGTAGACAAATAAGTTCCTTGAAGTTGTTTTCAAACATCTGGTACATATTTATTGTGATTCTTCTACTTGGACAATATTTCCTCTTATTTTAAGAAACTGATACAAGTGCAGAGTTCTAAAGAGAGTTTAATAATAGTGTTTTTTTTTAATTTTTATGCTACTTGTTAGAATATAATTACTTTATTACTTGTTCTCATGGACAGTGTTTTAATGCAATGCCACTGGTTGGTGTATTTGGAGTAGAGAGCTTTGCACAAAAATATATTATTAGGCAAGATACACTTTTTCTTTTTTTTTTTTTTTTTAAAAAGCAACATCTAAAGCTGTGCTATCATTAGGGTTTTGCTACTACTAATTTACTATTTAATATTGCAAGGGGGTAAAATGGCCACAGGGTTAAGATGCTGCTGCTTTTGAGCTGTCAGGATCAACATTTCCTCTGTCCTGCCTTTGAGTTCCCAGAGCTGAAAGAGCTCCCTTGACTTCAGTGCCAGTAGCCACAGGAGCTGCTGTTAACTCTGGATAAGTGGGAATCCTGTTATTTTTTAAAAATGGCACAGCCCAGTTGTGGAGACCTGAGCACAGGTTGGTCCCAAAGCTTAAAATCCAGAAATCTGTAGGTCAGAAGTCCAAAATTTGGGGCAAGACCATGAGGCAAGTTTCACGTGAGGATGGAGATGAAGTTTTTTGTTGCTGCCAGATTCAGGTCTGTTCTTGTGTTCAAGATGTCTTGAACAGGTGGAGGAGTCTCCAGCACCATCAAGAGATGCTCTGGTGCAGTAGGAAGACGCTTCTGTGGGAAGAGGAATGGATTAGAGAGGATGGGAATGGTCAAACCAAGTGCCAGGATGTTGGATACCAGGCTTTGGAGATCTCCACAAAGAATGGCAGAGGGAAGGGAACTGGCAAAGGATGTTTGTATTTTAGTGAGAGCAAATCAGTAGGAAGAGTAAATCTGCTCCTATAAACAGTGTTTAGCTTGAGGATCTACAAAGGTATTTTATGTGACTTATTTTAGGTTAAAGGTGCCCCCAAACCTCCCCAGCGAGGTTGGTCAGTCAAGGAGAAAAGTTGCTGGTTCCTTAAACATTTCAAGGCACTTCAAGGCTACCACCAGGCATCCCCTGTGTGAGCTTTAGTGACATCAGTGCTTGGTTGGTCATGTTTTCAAACCAAACTCAGGGAATTTTAGGTTGTGTGGATGTTATCCATGTGAGGAAACGATCAGCTGGACACCTTGGTGATGGCAGTGGAGCTGTCTCTGCACCACTAAAACTGTTTTATAGAATCAGTTCTTAGTTTTCCAGCTCCATCTTGGATTTTTTCTGCATTGTAGCTTCTGTTTTCCTGTTTTACTGGAATTGTCTCCTTGAAGTCTTTGTTGTCCTGTGCCCAAGCAGCTCAGAATTGTCACTTCTTTATCCTTTCAGCACCCTTGGCTTTCATGGTGGGCAACTTATTGAAGTCTTCTGACTACTTGTCCTTTGTGCCTCTGTCCTCCTTTGAGTTTTTGTGCTTCTTGTCCCACCAAAAGTTCTCCAGAGCAGGTTCCTGGTTGGAGTGGAGGATCTGTAGGAGCCTCCTGGGAAGTCTTAGTGGCTTTTTGTCTTTGCATTGATCTGATCTGCACAACCCAATCCAGCTGAGATCTTCATGCTGGTGGGTCAGATCTAAACAAATTCCTTGTTCTTTCTCTTAGAGTTGCCCTTTTCCAGCTCTAGTTCATCTTGATTCAAACTCTTATTGTTTTTTTTCTCATAAAAGCTGTGACTTTCTGTGGGTGAGGGCACTGAGTGTCACATCCAGTCCTTCCTTGGACACCTCCAGGGATGGGGACTCCACCACCTCCCTGGGCAGCCCCTTCCAATGTTTAATCACCATTTCCATGAAGAAATTCCTCCTGATGTCCAACCTGAGCCTCCCCTGGCACAGCTTGAGGCTGTTCCCTCTCCTCCTGTCCCTTGTTCCCTGGAAGTAGAGCCCGACCTCCCCCAGCTCCCCCCTCCTGTCAGGGAGTTGTAGAGAGTGAGAAGGTCCCCCCTGAGCCTCCTTTTCTCCAATGCTGCTTCTTATCCTTAAGAAGATCCTGTTTTTAACATGCAGCAAGAGGCTGAAAGTCTGTTGGAGAAGATTTGATTGATCTGGCACGGCCATAAAAACAGGAGGAGGGAAAGGGTAACTTCTGGCAGATACAGGGAGTTTAATTCCTAAAGGGTAGATCCTTTTAGTGCAGTGGTTCACATCCAGTCAAACAGACAGATTTAAGTCTAAACAAACAAGGATTAGGTCTCCAAGCTTTGATTTCCTGGTTTTTCCTAACACCAGGATCACCAGCAGGCTGGACAGTGGGCTCAGCTTGGCTGCTCCAGCTTTCCACAGCCTAAAAGTAACTTATTTGGTGCCCTAAAAATGATTTCTTTGGGTGCAAGTGTCCACCAGTTGTCTAATAACGAGTTACCAACCCCTTTGCTCCTGGGAGAGCCCATTCCCTGGGGATTGAGTAGCCAGGGCACTCAAGGAAAGCAGGAGTTTCCCGGGAAGCTCCAGGTAAGGAGAGTCTTTCCCGAGCTCCAGCCCCCCTCTGGTGGCCAAAGGGCCGCGGTGCTTCTGCTGGGAAATCCAACCCTCTCCCAAATTCCATCCTTTCCATGAACTCCCTCTCTTAAATAATTGCCTTGTTACTTTTCAGGTTATTTTTGTGTCTTTCTTTTTACTTCAACAGAATCTTTTTTTTATTGAGGATATTTTCTGGTTCAGGTTCCTCCAATGATTTTAATTCGTAAACAGAGAATGGGGAAGCCTTGAATGGGAATTTATTATTCCTTTTATTCCTGCTCTGTCCTGCTTGGATTTTGATTTTATTGGTTTGCAGGCCGTATCCTGCTATTTTAGGAATCAAAAATTGTAAAAAATGTAAAATATTTTACAATGTAAATATTGTACTGTTAGAAAACAGTAACAAGAATTTACATTAAAATATATAAAATATATATATTTATATACATATAAACCTTTAAAATACCTTAAAATTACCCTTAAAATTTTATTTATATAACCTTCTCTTGCACCTCTTGCTTTCTGGCTGTGCTCCCCAAACCCATCATTGACAAGGCTCAAATAATAGGAAGATGCTCCAAACCCAGCCACTTTTCACTTGTTTATGAGGGTTTAAATTACAGTTAAAAACTTCCAGCTCTTTCCTTTTTAACTTTTTCCTTCAGGAGTTGGTCTTAAGGCTTTCTTTTCCCAAAAAGTGCTGGGAACTGCTCTTGGTTGTGGGGTCTCACTCTGTGCTGAGAGCCAGAACCAGCTTCAGGGAGCTGTAGGAGCAGAAAAGTTGGGATCTGTGGGATCTTTCTCCTTTAACAATCACAAACTCCTCTTTCTTTGTCCATTTTTAACTGGTTGCATCTTGTGAGTTCAACGTAACCCGATGGCAAAAGAAGATAAGAAGCTTAAAAGTTGTCACAACTTCAAACAAGTGGGTTTTTTTTTGCTCTGCACTAACATTTGTCTCCATCCTGGGTGCTCAGATGGCCTGAAACTCCTTTCAGTGAGGTACAAAAAGATCAGAAAATTACTTTACCTGCTCAGGAGGTTGAGGTGAATTCACAGGCAGATTTTGGTTACAAATTCCAACAGTTCAGCTTTCAGGAAGCACCTGGAACTGGAAGATCAGGCTGATGCTGAACACTTTATTTATCTAAGATCACTTAGCACCTGCATAATTCCTGTTTTTACTGACCAGATCGTGGCCAGAGATTTTATTGATCACAACTAGAGCAGGGCCAAGTTCATGCCTTAATTAAAATCCTTAATTCAGTCAAAAATCCTTAATTCAGTTATTTCCACTACCTGATAAACATTATCTTAGTGGGGGACTTCACCAGGCTTTGTCCTGAGTGTGAACATGTCAATTCAACAAGTCATCACAACTGGAATTCTTGCTAAAAGTTGCCTTTATACTCTAAAATCTTCATTATTTATTCTGTTCATTATTTATTCCATTTGTAAAATGGAACATGGACTTTACACAAGCCGAATTTATCTTTTATTCCCTTTTCTTAATGAACGTGGATGGTGGTGGATCTTTCTTTTTTAAAAAGAAAAAATCTGAATTCAAGCATCCTGTGAACAGAATATATATTTCCATAATCAAAATAAAAAGCATTTAATAGGGAAATTTTATTTTATTTTATTTTATTATTTTTTATTTTATTTTATTTTTTATTTTATTTTAGATAATAAAACCTATACCCCAAGAGAGAGAATTTTATTTTCTCTTCCTTTATTCATCAAACCCAAAGACTGTGCTGGTTCAAATAACACACCTGAGTTAAAATCACAGTTTCCTTAAAACATGGTTTGTCTCAGGTGTGTTGAGCATCAGTGGGGCTCTTGGTTGCCTTTTTTGTGGGTGTTTATTGACACATATAATTGAAATTAAAATAATTCTTATCTCTCAGACAGAAATTCCAGCATCTCTTTGATTTGGGAATGTTCTCAGGAAGATTTGGGGGCTGTTTCCAGGAAGATCTGAGGTTGCAGTGTTGCTCTCTGGCCACCAGATAGAGACTGAAGCTCATGAAAAAGGAGTTTTCTTTCTCTTTCCTCTCTTTTTTCCTCTCTTTTTCCCTTTCCTTTGGTGGTTGAGGATTCTCTGAAGCCCAGGAAGGAATCAATGTTCCATCAGTAAAGGATTTGAGAGTGTTGTTGTATAAAATGGATAATGAGCACTTTGCTCCACGGTTTTCCATCACCAGGAAGGAGAGAAGGAGCAAGAATCTCTCTTGGAAAGAGAAGAGAATGTTACAAATGTTCAAATATAAAAGGAGGAGGGGAAAAAAAAAATGCTCAGTTCTTTCTCTTCTCCCACCCAAAACTTTATGAACCCAGGAGAGCAAAATAGAACCTGTTGAGAAGTTCCTGCAGGTTCAAAGTGAGGCCTCGGGAATGTGGGACTGTCCAAATCCACACTTAAAAACACAAGTTTTAAATAAGGGGCTGATTGCAAGAACCAGAGGAGTAGCCTAATTTTAATTAATTATTATTTAATTATTTACAGTAATTAATTAATAATAGTTAGGGAACAGCAGCAAATCAGATTATAATTTTTTTTTTCACCAGGCTGCTGATTTCAGAGTGGAAATCAGATTTATTTTTGAAGTAAGCAAGGAAATTTGACTTATAAATTAGAAACTAAACATGAATACATGTCGTATAAATTCCCTTTGCACATTAGAGGAATGTTATATGTGAATAGTTGATCTGAACTATGGAATTCTTGAAGTGGAAAACTCAGAGTCCCTGTGCTGCTCATCCAGCCCTGGACAGAGACTGGGCCCTGCTGATATTCCTGTACCACAGCCTGGGTTTTACCAGCAAAATCTACCAGTGTTCTTGTGCTCCAATTAAGGAATTTTCAGGAAATACTTGGATTTGGGAAGCCTGGAGCAGTGCCAGCTGGGATTAGGATGTGCTGCTGCTCTGTTTTTAACGGGGTTGTGGGAGGGAACCAAAGGAGCTCCTATTTAGGTGTGGTTTGTTTAATGCTCCACATTTGTTTGGCAGCTGAAAGGAAGCAACAAAAAAATGTTTTGGAAATGTCAAATAGTTTGTTTAGGAAACTTTCAGACAGTTTCCTGATGTTTACAAAGTTTTATTGCTTGTAATAAAAGAGAATTAATGTCTTTCCCTCTATCCATGTGCTCCGTGCACCCACTGGAGCTGGGATTTCTGGGGTGGTTTTTGAGGGCAGGTCTGGTTTCAGAAGCACAAACTTTTATAATTTCTTTTTTGTCAGACCTTTTTTAGGTCACTGCAGTGTGATTTAAAAAAAAAAAATTATTTTGGCATGCACTCTTTGCACAGCAACCGTTGTAATATTTATTATTTATCATAATATTTAGTATTATTAAATATTCCTTAAAATTAGTATTAAACTACTAAATATCATAAATAATAAATATAAATTATTTAATAGTAGTTTAATACTAAATATTGTATTATATAATTTAGTAATATAATACTGGATATTATAGAATACAATATGATATAACATAATAACATTTAGTAATACTTATTATTTAGCAATATTCAAGTAGTAATAATTCATTAATTTAATATTTACTACTAATTATTATTACTTATGAATAAAGTAATACTGTAAAAGATGGAGGAGCAGTTCCACTTCTCCAGGTCATTTATTAGTTCAATAATATGGATATAAAACATACATGAGACAAGTTTTTCTCCAGTGGAATTGCTTAAACTTGCCCTGAGGTTTCCTGTCATTGGGAAATGGGGAGGAATAACCCCAGGCACCAGCCCAGGCTGGGAGTGACCTGCTGGAAAAGGACCTGGTGGACAACGAGCTGTCCCTGAGCCAGCAGAGTGTCCTGGGAGCCAAATGGGATCCTGAGGGGATCGGGAAGAGCATTTCCAAAGGGTCAGGGAGGGGATTCTGCCCCTCTGCCCAGCCCTGGGAGGCACATCTGCAGGGCTGGGTCCAGCTTGGGCTCCTCAGCACAGCAGGGACATGGAGCTGCTGGAAGATGATTCTCCTGTGGAGATGCTGAAGGGATGGAGCATCTCTGGGAGCAGGAAAGGCTGAGGGAGCTGGGGCTGTTCAGCCTCCAGAGGAGACACTGAGAGGGGACCTCCCCCAGGTCTGGCAGAGGATGGACCAGGACTTGGACTCTGATCCTTCCAACTCAGCTGAAGCTGAACATGAGCCAGAGTGTGCCCAGGTGGCCAAGAAGGCCAATGGATCCTGGCCTGGCTCAGGAACAGTGTGGCCAACAGGTCCAAGGAAGTGATTCTGCCCCTGGACTCAGCGCTGGTGAGGCCACCCCTGGAGTGCTGTGTCCAGTTCTGGGCCCTCAGCTCAGGAAGGATATTGAGGTGCTGGAGCAGGTCCAGAGGAGAGCAACGAGGCTGGGGAAGGGACTGGAGCACAAGTGCTGTGAGGAGAGGCTGAGGGAGCTGGGGCTGTTCAGCCTGGAGAAGAGGAGGCTCAGGGGAGACCTCCTCACTCTCTGCAACTCCCTGACAGGAGGGGGGAGCCGGGGGGGGTTGGTCTCTTTTCCCAGGCAACTCTCAGCAAGACAAGAGGGCTCAGGGTCTTCAGCTGTGCCAGGGGAGGTTTAGGTTGGATATTAGAAAGAATTTCTTTCCAGAGAGGGTGCTCAGCCATTGGAATGGGCTGCCCAGGGAAGTGGTGGATTCTCCGTCCCTGGAGGTTTTTAAGGACAGACTGGATGTGGCATCAGTGCCATGGGCTGGGAACCATGGTGGGGTTGGATCAAGGGTTGGACTTGATGATCTCGGGGGTCCCTTCCAACCCAGCTGATTCTATAATTCTATGAGTCTGTGATTCTGTGATTTCTTGCAGTCACTATATCATTAAATTCCTATTTTTTCCCCCTCATTTCTTATTCCAGAGGCGGATGCCCCAAACTTTCCGTGATCCAGCCACTGCTCCACTGAGGAAACTCTCCGTAGATTTGATCAAAACATACAAGCATATTAATGAGGTAACAGCTCCTTGGTGGGCACTGAGGGCAGGGCTTTGTTACAGCACATATTTAATGTATTTCCTACAAATAATATCATGAAAGGATCACAAAAATCAAGTTTTCTCTCAGTTGTTCCCATTGAGGTCATTGATGTCCTGCTCCAGCACAGGAAATCTTTTATCCTGGAATTTATTTTCTCTTGTTTTCTAAACAAATGTTTTGCATGATAAAAGAATTACGAGTGACACAAACACACTTTGAGCTATAAAACTTTATTAATGTGTCTGAGGACTTCTAAGGAAAATTGTTTTATATTTTACATACGTATTTTCCCTGAATTATTTAATTAAATCTCATTGGCAAGTGTAAAATATGAAATCTTTGTGGTTATTACAAGCAGGCATCAATTAATTTTGAACTCTTTGGCAGTTGAAGGAATTTCACTGACTTCCTTGGAATTCTTTTCCTGTCCTGTGGAAAAGGAATTATCCAACTGATAATTCTTATTTCCAGGCTCCTTAGCTTTTTTAATTTTGCTGTGTGCTTATGGTTCTGCTCTTCTTGCACCTGTGAGCTCCAGGGATCAGAACATTAATTTAGATCTGCTCGATTATTCCTCAAGACTTTGCTTTGGAATTAAAGATTTGGCTTCAAACAGAGCAATAGCAGAGGGTGGCTTGGATTTCCACTGCTCCAAGTTGCATTTTAAAACCACAGGATGATTAATAAAAGTTGATTTTGCTCTTGATTGAACTGACAACTCTAAAAACTGCTCTTAACCAACCCCCTTTTCACCCTCAGGTTTACTATGCAAAAAAAAAACGGCGGCATCAGCAGGGCCAAGGAGATGATTCCAGTCACAAAAAGGAGAGGAAGGTTTACAACGATGGATATGATGATGACAACTACGATTATATTGTGAAAAATGGGGAGAAGTGGATGGATCGGTATGAAATCGACTCTTTAATAGGCAAAGGATCCTTTGGACAGGTAAATATATCATTTTATATAGATATATAATTTATATGAATCATAATCATATTTAATTTGAGGTGCTGTTCCTGTTTCATTTTGAAATTAAAGCTGTTTTTTCTCAGTGCTGTTTTACTGAGTGTCTACTCAGGACACTCATATTTTGTGGTGTTTCAGGTAACATTTGAATATATTTTATTTTGTAGCTCTGGTAAAGCATTTTACAGTGAGAAATCCTCAACCTTTTGCCATCAGCTGTTTGACTTAGCTTTTAAAATTAAAACAATAAACCAGTCCTAGAGATCACCTGCTATAAATGTTATTAGTAGCATTTATTGGGACTGTTTGTAGCCAAACCAAAGGCTGGAAGGAGGATGGAGCTTTTCTTTTATTGGGTTTTTTTTTTCAGTTTTCCTCAGATTTTGCCAGTCCTTTTAGAGTATTGGTTTAGGTGATTTGATGATTTTATTTCCCAGTCCTTTTAGAGTGTTGGTTTAGTTGATTTTATTTCCCAGTCCTTTTAGAGTGTTGGTTTAGATGATTTGATGATTTTATTTCCCAGTCCCTTTACAGTGTTGGTTTAGATGATTGGATAATTTTATTTATTTATGAAATAATAAATGCTTATTGTTTATTAGGTAATTTTATTAGTATTTATTGTATGTATTTTTATTGACATATTTATTCCTGTAAAGTGCCCTCACTGCAGTAAATGACACACGCTCGGTTGTGGCTCTGTTGTGGTGTCGAGAGAAAAAATCGAATTAAAAAGGGCAAAACTTCTGGAAAAGTTTTCCTGAATGTAGAAAAGTGAGTTTTGCTGTGGAGGGATTTTCCTGATGGATTTGGCTGCTCTGTTCCAGGTTGTCAAGGCCTATGACCGAATGGAGCAGGAGTGGGTGGCCATCAAAATCATCAAAAACAAGAAGGCTTTCTTAAACCAGGCCCAGATTGAAGTGAGACTGCTTGAGCTTATGAACAAACATGACACTGAGATGAAGTACTACATAGGTATTTCAATAATTATTCTCCATTTTTATCTTATTCTTAATATAGGATATTTTCCCATACAACAGGGTGCTCCTGGTCCTAAAGAAATACAAAAAAACCAACACACTTTTAAAATTATTCCTATGATTTCGTGCAGATTTTCCACTTTGCCTTGTGACAGCCAGAATTAAAATATGGAAAATTATTTGTACCTTTGCAGTGTTGGGATTTTCTGCAGAGTTTTCTTTTTTCCAGTTAGGGACACCTGAAGAAGTTGCCATGTGATGATGATCTGTGGTGGTTTGCATCATTTTCACTCTTTGAATATATCTCAAATTATCTCACAACTGTCATGGATAAGGACATATATTTTATAGGAATAACAGAATACAGAACATAATATTTTATGGGAACAGTAGCTTCATCATTACTTTTTCTTTCATGTGTGTTTAAAAAGCTCAAAATTTGGTGTAACAACCAAAGATTCGTGTAAATGTTAAGATTTGCCCATTTATAGCTCAGAAAATATTTGAAATCTTATTATTTTGACTGTTCCTGTAGGTTGGAGTGTTGTTCTCTTAACTTATTATTATAAAGCTACTTGAAATTTATGGTAATAATGAAATCAAGTCAGCTCCTGTAAAAAGTTTATTAAATCCCATCTATCCTGTGGAGTAGAGACTTGGGAAAGAAATGATGGAAAGAAGACAACCCCATGCTGTAAAGAGAGATGGAGCAGGATGAAAAAGAGTGATTAAGGAAAATTAAACTGGGTTTAAGCATTTCTTAGTTTGTAGAAGCCAAAATACCAACAGCTGTGCTTTCCTGGTTTGCATGTCTGTGTTGAATTCCCGATTTTTCTTTCTGTAGTTTAGAAAGAAATCTTTGAAATAATTTTAACATACGTTGGTATTAAATTATTTTATGATTATTCACTTAAATTTTAACTTGTTTTATAGAATATTATATTCAGAATGCATTTTATGTATTCAGTGTCAAAGCTTTTGGGGTATTTTTAAGTTAAATTTATTAATGGCAGGTTTACATAAAACAAAACCTAAACTTGTCAGTGCCCAACGTCAGAAAGGTGTTAAAGACATGGCCAGTTTCAGATGTAATAAGAGCAAGTAAAGGCATCAGCAAATAAGCTCTTGGAATTTTAAATTTATAGGGAAGAACCTGTCCCAGGTAAGTTGTAAAGGACATAAAAAGAAGTGGCTCATGATAACAGAGAACACAAATCAATGGACACCAAGTCAACACAGGACACCAAAAATCCACCTTCATTAAAAACCTGAATTCTCATTGGGCTGATATTGGTTCAACATTTTATTATGGCAAAAAAGGGGAGTGTGTTGCTTTTTGTCTGAGGTGTTTTTCCTATTTCGATTCTCTTGTGGCAACCTGAGCTCTTGGCAGACTGACAAACATTTAATGGGGTGAATATTTCACTTATTTCATGGAAAAAATAGATGGATTGGGTTTGAACTGGATTGGTTGCTTTCAGAAACTCACATTGTGCCTGGTTGAAATGACTACAATGCCCTGGGGATATTGATTTTAATCAATTATTTTTAATTATTAACTGAATAATCAATTGAAGTCACGGCTTATAAATTGCAATTTATAAATTATAAATCTTGTATTAATCTGATGGTCAGATGTTTCCCCTGTAAATGTAGGGGGGTTGGTAACTTGCTTTGGTAATACAGCCTTTCTGTCTTTAAAGTAATTCTTTGGATAATACTGAGGATGTGTAAAATATCCCTCTGTACCCCAGGGCTGGCAGAAATATTCTGTAGATAACACAGAACTGAGAGAAAAGAAAATAATACTCTTATCATTTTACTCATAACTCAACTTCCTAAATATTGATTGTAATTAGCACCTCATTCTTAGCACACAGGGCACATTTTAATGAATTTTTTTCCCCCCTTTCCCAAGTGCATTTGAAGCGTCACTTCATGTTCCGGAACCATCTGTGCTTGGTGTTCGAGATGTTGTCCTACAACCTGTACGACCTGCTGAGGAACACCAACTTCAGGGGGGTGTCCCTGAACCTCACCAGGAAGTTTGCCCAGCAGATGTGCACAGCCCTGCTCTTCCTGGCCACCCCCGAGCTCAGCATCATTCACTGTGACCTAAAACCCGAGAACATCCTGCTCTGCAACCCCAAACGGAGCGCCATCAAGATCGTGGATTTCGGCAGCTCGTGTCAGCTCGGGCAGAGGGTGAGCACCACTCCAAATTCTATTTACACAATATTATTAAGTCATAATGCTCAGCTGGCTCGTTTAAACTTTACACATGGTGGCTTTAAAATAGTCATCATCATGTCCAGGCTTCGCGAATGAAGATTTGGGAAGGGCTCTACCCATGTTTGTTACAAGCGCGCTGGTGGTTAAAAGGCCAATATGAGACAGACACGTCTGGTTGCAAAAGGCACAGCAGAAAGACTCCTTAGGTGGTAAATTCTGCAAGGCTCGATTCTTTCTGCGTTGTCTTTTCTCCTCAAGGGTGATCCTGGTGCTTTCTCAAAAGCATCAGCAGTGTTATAGATGGTGTGTCTCCAGACCTCCCGATTTGAGGCCAGAGTAGACCAGTTCTGGTGATTAATACGGCCAAGGTTGAGATGTTGTTTCAGGGAGTCCTTGTATCTTCTCTTTGGGGCTCCTCTCTTGTGGCAGCCAGTGTTTACAGAGCCATAGTGCTGTCTGCTCTTTTATATGGATCTGAATCATGGGTCATCTACTGCCACCACTTGCATCTCCTAGAACGCTTCCATCAACGCTGCCTCCGTACAATCCTAAACATCCACTGGGCAGATTATGTGACCAACACATCTGTTCTTGAACAGGCAGCAATCACAAGTATTGAGGCCATGTTGCTGAGAACACAGCTGTGCTGGGCAGGGCACGTCTCCAGGATGAAGGACCAACCACCACTTCCCTGAGATCCTGCTTTAGGGTGGCTTTAAAATAGTAATTTAAGTTTAAATAGGGTGTGAGAGAGCAACAGTTTGTGGGAGCTTCAAATATGAGTTTTAGAACCACAGAATTGTTAAGGCTGGAGAAGACCTCTGAGGCACACGGTGACTCTGTGCAGGACTGGATGATCCTTGGGGATCCCTTCCAGCTCAGCATATTCTGGGATTCTGTGACTTTTAAAATCATCAAGAGGCCTTTTAGGATCTTTTTGAAGAGGCCTTTTAAGATCATCAGGTCCAACCATCAACCAGCACCACCATGTTCAAACCACATCCAAACCACCTCAAGTGCCACATCCAAACCATGTCTTCAAGTGCCACATCCAAACCATGTCCTCAAGTGCCACATCCAAACCACGTCCTCAAGTGCCACATCCATATGTTTTTTTGAACACTTTCACACTCCACCACTTCCCTTTAGTTCCCCAGTAGATAAAAATCCACCACAGTGGTAAAATTTCCATCTTTTTTTGTTCTCCTTGGCTGTGTTTTTGTGCCGTGTCAGTGGAAAATGCATCAGCACTTGGTTGTATAAGTCTGCAGTGCTGTTAAATAAAATACTCTTATTATTATTTTATTCCATATATGTTACCTATAATTACCTTATTATTTTATTCCATATGTATTACTCCTTTCACTTTGGCCTGTCCTTTGTTTATTACTGGTTATACTACAGATTGGGTCATTATATGAAATTAATTCAGCAATTAATGGATTAACTTGAACAAAATTCCCCCAATTCTCACTTGAGGAGTTGGGATTGGCCATTGCTTTTTTCCAGTGTAATTTGGGAAGAGCAGGTCAGAATACTGAATATTGCAGTGAATGGTGAGACATAGATTTACATTAATTAAAGGGCTTTTAATATATATAAACTATACACTAGAAACTTTTCACTCTGGGGTGAAGGAAGACACGAGGAGGTGAAATGACACTCAGGTTATTTATGTTAATAATAATAAGATTTTGAGACGTTAAGAAGCACAAATACAAATAAATGATCACATGAGTAAATCTGCACTTTTTTTTTGGAGAATATGAATATTTTCCTAAGAATTAACAGTGACATATTTTTATTAATGCAATATATAGATATTTTGAGTATCCCTGATCCCTTTCCCTGCACCAAAACGATATTTCCTGGGAGTTGTGTTTTGTCACGTGGAATTGTCACAGTGCCCTTGGATGCTGTTTATGACCTTCAGATGTTTTATTTCAGATATACCAATATATCCAGAGTCGTTTTTATCGATCACCAGAGGTGCTACTGGGAATGCCTTATGATCTTGCAATTGATATGTGGTCCCTTGGGTGTATTTTAGTGGAGATGCACACTGGAGAGCCTCTCTTTAGTGGGGCAAATGAGGTATGTTATGGACAAATAATTAGATTATTTTTTAATTAATTCCCATCGTGGTTTCCATCTGTTTAACTGTAATGCATAAATGAGGGATGTCTCTAACTCTGAAATGATTAAACATCAATAACAGCAATGTCTATTGTCAGAATTCAAAATTGCCTGTTAATTTTCTGCTTCTCCCCCTTACTCCAAACTCACTGATTTGCTTTGTACATAATGGATTTTTCTTAAATTAATTAATTAAGAACTTGTCTGGGATGCTGACATTTGGGACACTGCTTGGCTGGCTGCCACTTGTTCCTCATAAATCCTTTTTGTCTGGAACAGGTGGATCAGATGAATAAAATAGTGGAAGTTTTGGGGATACCACCTACCCACATCCTCGACCAAGCACCAAAAGCAAGAAAGTTCTTTGAGAAGTTGCCAGATAGCACTTGGAACTTGAAGAAGACCAAAGATGGAAAAAGGGTAGGTTAAATAACCAGGATGATTAAAAAAATAGTTTATTTTCATATATATATATACACACACATATGTATATATATAAAAATAATGTATTTTATACTTATATATATTTCTATTTCAATGTATTTCTATTTTTCATATATTTATACTTCCATATATTTCTATTTTTATATATATTTCTATTTTCGTATATATTTCTATTTTTATATATTTTTCTATTTATATTCTCTATATATTTATATATGTTTATATATACTTATATATATAAATCGTGAGATGTTACTTTGGTTTTTTTTTAAACTTGAAGAAGGCCAGAGATGGAAAAGGGGCAGGTTAAATAACCTGGATGATTAAAAAAATATATCTTTTTATATATTTATATTTATATTTTTGTATATATTTATATATATAAATGGTGACACGTTACTTTGGTTTGTTTGGAACTTGAACAAGGCCAAAAATGGAAAAAGGGTAGGTTAAATTACAAGGATGATAAAAAGTGATATTTTCTTATATTTTTATATATTTTATATATTTATAGTTTTATATATATATATTTATATATAAACGGTGAGATGTTACTTTGTTTTTTGGAACTTGAAGAAGACCAATAATGGAAAAAGGGTAGGTTAAATAACCTGGATGATTAAAAAGAAATAAAATCTTTCATATATGTATATATATATAAAATATATATTTATGTGTATAAATGGTGAGATGTTACTTTGGTTTTTTTGGAACTTGAAGACCAAAGATGGAAAAAGGGTAGATTAGATAACCTGGATGATTAAAAAAAATAAATTCTAACATATATATATATATAAAATACACACACATAAATATATATTATATAAATATATATATTATATATTTTTATATATTTATATGTATAAATGGTGAGATGTTACTTCGGTTTTTTTGGAACTTGAAGAAGACCAAAGATGGAAATAGGATAGGTTAAAGAACCAGGATGATTTAAAAAAAAATTCTTATATATATATATATACACATAAAATACACATAAATATATATTATATAAATATATATATTATATATTTTTATATATTTATACATATAAATGGTGAGATGTTACTTTGGTTTTTTTGGAACTTGAAGAAGACCAAAGATGGAAAAAGGATAGGTTAAATAACCTGGATGATTAAAAAAACCCAAATTCTTTTATATATATATATACATAAAATACACATAAATATATATTATATAAACATATATATATTATATTTTTATATATTTATATGTGTAAATGGTGAGATGTTACTTTGGTTTTTTTGGAACTTGAAGAAGACC